TCAACACTACTATCATCTCAAAAACTATTTACAAAACAACAAACTACTATCAAATCTTGACAAAACACAACAACAACAATTACAATCCAAAAGCAAATTTTTCGAAATTAAAAACAATATACTTTATAGAAAAGACAGAAGAAGAAAAACATGTAATCAATACTCAAAGTTTTACAAAAGCATGAAATAGAACTAGTACTATATCTACTGTATAACCATCCTATTAGTGCACATCTAGGTGTAGATAAGGTGTTTGAAAAAGTTTAAAGTCAATATTTCTGTCCACAAATATTTGAAGACATAAAAGACTATATCAGATCATGTAATAGATGTCAAAGACGAGGAAAATATAGAATACCTGGTCCTTTACACCCCATTCCTGTTGGAGAACCCCTTTCAAAAATCGGAATAGTCATTTTTGGTCCTTTACCATACACGAAAAAAGGCAACAGATACATCGTAGTAGCAACAGACTATTTTACTAAATGGCCTGAAGCTGAGGCAATTTCAGATGCAACAGGAAAATGAGTAGCTGAATTTATATATCAAACTTTTATTTGCAGACATGGATGCTCAAAACAGATACTTTCAGATTGAGAAACTCATTTCAGAAATGAAATAGTTGATAATTTATTAAAGAAATTTGAAATACAACATTTATTATCTATCCCATACCATCCCCAAACTAATGGACTAGTGAAACGATTCAATAGAACTTTATGTGAAGCATTGACTAAACTAATAGAAGTATAAGAAGATTGGGATAACTACATTGCATCAGTATTATTTGCATATAGAATAGCTAAACAATCCTCTATGAAAATAACTTTCTTTTACTTGGTATATGGATGAAAACCCCAAATACCTCCTATAGAAATGGATGAAATAATCAAAGGAGATATTCTATTATGACTGTTCACTCTGATAGAAAAATTACCACAAGGAAGAGAAGCTGCCAGACATAATATTCAGAGAAGTCAACGAAAACAGAAAGAGTATCATGATCAAAGGAAAAACCTAGCCCTAACATTCAAAATAAGTGACAAAATATTAATGTATGATGCTGCATAGACAAACATTTTACAGGGAAGTTGAAACCAAAATAGAAAGGACCTTATTATATCCACAATATTCTTCCAAATGTGTCTATCAGTTGAGAACTTTGGATGGAAAAGTACTGGCTGCTCCTATCAATATCTATCTTTTAAAGAAGTATTATGACCGAGAAGAATGGGTACCACAAATAGTTTTACATGACTATCAGTCATCAGAGTCATCATCTAGTCAATAAAAACTATTTGAAACATCTGAATAGAAAACTTAAAAGAATTGAAGACATTTAAGAAAAGAATCAAGAAAAAAATGTAGTGAAATAGTGGCAGCCTAAAGAGCAACTGCACCACTATTTCAGCTGGCCTAGGGAGCATTACAACTACTACTACATGGTCTTAGTAATCAAACACATATAAAGAAACAAACTTAGTAGGGCATATGAGAGAAAGACCTGTCCAGCGGAGGAGGAGCTTCTATGTTCTGCAATTGGAGAAGTTGCTTCAATGAATAAATCCGCCAGCGAAGAATATTGTTCTCCCGCTCTAGTTCTATATGTGTGAGGAGGTAGCAGCAACCAGTTATGTCTTGAAGGTCTGCTGAAAGGCTCTTATACTTTTCACGAAAAATAGAATTGGTTTCTTGAAGCCTATCAAACCAGCGACGCAAGTTCTATGCCTCCTCTTTGAGAGAAAGGTTTTCCCAAAACAAGTCATGATTATCAATGGGTTGGGAACTTCTGGTTCCCTTGGAGGAAAAGGAAGTGGCAGTGATACATTTTTGTTTATGGACTCTTGGCATAATGAATTCACTTATGATAGATATATATCATCCCAAAATACAAAAGATATGATCCTTAAATATATCACACAAACATATGAAGATCAAAAACACAAAACAAGTTTTGACAAATATAAATAGTCAAGGTTTTCCTCAATTCCCCAGCAAACTATTTCAAGATCTCAAAAACGTGCAATAATCTCAAAATGAATACCATTATTGATCAAATTATGGATGATCTCCTTGAAACAACTCCTGTAAATGTGGATGTAGTTCTACCATATGTAGATATCATACAATCTTTGGAAGTACAGGTTCTAATCAAGTACAGACATCTACAAAGGCAACAAGGACCAAAAATTGACAAATGACCTTGATGCATGCTTATCTATGAGGCAAATTATTGAATCAAGTGATAAATCGTCATCAATATGGTTTTTTGGGTGATCAAGTATCTGCATATTACAAATGAGCTTGTATCAGGACTTATTACCTTTTTGAGAAGACAGGAATAGAACAAATTATGAGAACAAGAAAAACAACCCTTAGAAATATCTACAAGATGACAGCTGCTGAATTCAAATCCCTAATTGGTGCTTAACTTGTGGAACTCACAGATTAGTTGGGGGGGAATTATTGGACCATAAAATTTCGCCATATGATCTTCCTAGTACTCAGGATGATCCCAGTACCTCAGATTAATATATCATGATTCTTTTGGTCACCTGAAAGTAAAGATCTTCCAGAACACTTTTAGAATATTGATAATCAATTTTGCTATTAGCAAACTTAGCCTAAAGTACTCAAGAATATTCTATAATCATAGCTTATCACATGTAACTTATTTTTGAAGGATACTTGAGTTCTGTTCAAAATAACATAACTTAATAGTCCAGTGAAACTAATAGTATAATTAGTACTATTATTTATCTTAGTTTATATTCTCAAATATTATATAACTCAATTATGTATTCAAAGGAGAAAATGCTCCCTCTGGAGACTCCTCAGGATTTATCCAACAATAAAATTACCTTTAACCTGAAATTATTGTCCTGCCTCTACAGCCTAAATCACTAGTGATAAACCTCTTCATTTATTATTGTCCAAATTAGGAACTTTTGTATATCACGTTAGAAGTCTAACTTGGTGTTTCTCTGCACTAGCTCTCTGTCTCTATCTGATTCCTAAGAGGTGAATTGGATAGGTTGACAATGTATAGGGATATACTTTACACTTTGATACTATTTTTCTTTTTCAATTTATAGTTGTTAAGATTACAGTATATAAGATATTTGTTATTTATATCAATCAGATTGATAGTGATAGCTTTAGTGCTACCTGTTAATTTTCAAAAAGGGCAGTAATGAGTGTAATACTATTAAAGATTTCACTTCAAATATTGAAGAGACCTTTGTATGAGCTAAGGATCATTGTTAAATAGATAATTTTTTTTCAATAGTCTCTTCTGAAATGTCTTGAACTTCAATCACTACTTTATATTTGATTTACCTATATTTGATACTTGGATTGAAAAGAGATCTTGAGTGTAATTTGTGAAGTTTTGTTCTAAGGATCTGTTGATCTAAGTGATATTAATAGAAAAGTTGCCAGTTATTGATTCCTTAATATCCATTATTTTATCTTTATCTATTATTTTTATATTAGAAACTGATATTCTTTTATCTTATAAAAAAAATATTTGTGATTCTTGCTTTCATTGATCCCAATATTTTATACTGTAGAGCTTTATTGATTTGAAATATCAGATCTTTTTCTATCTATTCACTTTATGAATTGTTGCTAATATTTTGTACAGTGGAAGGAGTTATGTTTGAAGTGACAGTTTTATCATTTGTTACTGTTCTGATTATAGATTTTGTACTTGATGAAAAAATTATTGTTGTTATGTTAAGTTTGAATTTTTTTGCCTAAGTTGATTTGATTTCTATTCAGATAAGGTCGACCTTGCCCTTGAACATACTTCTTTTACTGTAGTTGAACCTGCTGTTGATACTTGTACTCTTGGTAGTTCTGTTTAGAATATTCACTTTCTAGTTTTGTATTATGTCACAGAGAAATAAAAAAGAATTACTGGGATGATTATGAAATTAAAAATTTAATTCTTTGACAAATCTATTCTTTAATAATTTTTATGATATCCTTTCTATCTTTTCTTACATTATTTTTTTATAAAAAATAATTAAATAAATAGTTTAAAAATATTTTTTTTCTATTTAAAGTTAATTAATTTCTATATACAATATATTAAAAAATGGAATAGCAGGTAATTATACCCTTATTTATCAATAAAAAATGATCGATTTTTCGGTTTTTTCTAAAAACCCTCAAGTAATAATGATAAAAAATTTCATGAATTGATTGAATCAATATTAAATATCAATGTTCCCAAGACTATTTTCTATTCTTATATAATTGCAAGGTAATAGCTTTATCAATGTAGTATAGTCTCTATCTTATCTTTTTTTTTTATTTCCCTTTTTATTGTCACCTTGTTAAAAATTTTTTTTGAAAAATTTTTGAATTTTAATAATGATTATAAAATTTTTAAAAGAATGCAATTAAATTAAAATAAAAAATTTTTTAGTTATTATTTTTTTCGCAAATAATTTGTCAAAGATAATTTTAACACTTATCCATTATATATTAATATTTATTTAAATCATATTTGTTTTTTAGTAATTACTGATTTAAATTAAGTATGACATCTATTAACATAGCTCAGGTCCTAAAAAAAAAATAAAAATAAATTTACAGACCTCGTTCACCAATTTTTAATACTTCTTCAATGCTCATTTTTCTTGGGTTACTCGAAATTTTGAGTTGCAAAATTTCACCGATCTCATTACATGCCTTTAGTATCTCATCCAAGTCCTGCCTTGTATGTGCAGCAGATATACAAAATCTTGCACGTGACGAAATCATTGGTGTAGCTGGATATGCGACAACCACCACAGCTATATTACGTTTCAAGCATTCTCTGGAGAATGCACTGAAATAATAAAGTGTTCCAAATTAATAGACGAATCAGCGCAAATTAAAAAAACTGTAAAATACATACGGAATTTTTGCCGGATTGAACAACATAAGAGGAATTATTGGTGAGTCACGATCGCCATAAATGATAAAACCCAAACGCCGTAAATTTACACTTAGGTAACGAGCGTTGAAAGCTAAACGCTCTAAACGTTTTTGACCTTCATTAGTCCCATCTTCACCCATTATTATTGACATTGAAGTATATATTTGTTGGAGAACCAGGGGAGTCATCGACTCAGCATATATCGAAGCATGATTCGTAATTCGTAAATGATCAATTATATCTTGACTAGCAGCTATGTAACCACCAGCCGCACCAAATGATTTGGTAAATGTTCCCATTAATATGTCGACTTCGTCAGGATTTACGCCATAATAATCGCAAACACCACGACCACGGGGACCCAATGCGCCTATGCTATGTGCCTCATCAACATATAGGTAAAACTGTTAGATTCAACAGTACATTATAAGTAAGTCATAATTATCTTATACATATTGATAATCAGTTGCCGTGACCATTTCTCTTTTCTGTGTAATGACACAACGGGCAATAAAAAGATAATCACCTTGTATTTCCTTTTAAATTCAAGAATTTTTGGTAAATTACAAATACTGCCTTCCATAGAATAGATTCCTTCCACAACTAATAAGATTTTCTTCCATGGACGATGTGTACGTGGTTGACCCTGACTAATACATTCTCTTAACAGAAGTTCTAGATCATCCATATCATTATGTTTAAAAACCCGGATGAAAGCTCCTGACAAGCGACTACCAAAGACTATTGAACTATGATTATATTCATCGGAAATTATGAGACATCCTTTCGACACAAGAGCTGGAAGAGTTGTACTATTTGTGGCATAACCCATGGAAATAATCATTGCTGCAGGTTTTCCGAGAAACCGTGACACAAGGGATTCAACTTTCTGGTGAAGATCAGATGAACCTAATACATAGAATTTATATCAACGTCAACAAATTAAAGAAGGATTTTGTTTCTCCGTAAAACCTTACCAACTTCAGCTCGAGGACTGCATGTTGTGATTCCATATTTTCTTATGGTTTGCTCAACTGCATCGGCACAAGGTCCGTCGGCTTGAGCAAATCCCAAATAATTATAACTACTTAGGTTCAAACATTCCCTAGTGTTTCCAGTTAATTGAAATGTCTTGCAATAGTCTGTTGTTTCACGCTCAAGAAGTGTAATTTTTCTGCCTGGAACGCCAGTGACCGGACGATTAAAACAATCGTTGATTCGAAGTTTGAGACGACGGACATAAAAATTGTCAAAATCAGAATTAAGAGGTGCATAACCCTGTATTTAATGTAAAATAAAAGTTAGTTAATAAAACCAATTTAAACGTGCAATTGACAGTTAGTTTGTAATTACATTTTGCTCCCTCAAGTGCTTATAGTTTTTACTTCTAAATCTCTTGCCAAAGAAGTCCCTTAAGTGACCGAAACAAATTAAAACTAGATATGACAGGTAAGTTGTAAAGAGGAAATAGTATGGTGGCTCTTCCTCTACCCATCCGGGGTCGTCGTCTCTCCGCTTTGAAACATATCGCTGTTTATTTTCTCCAGATCGTTCATCCTTTATATCAGAATAATCAATATTCGAATTTTTGGGAGTATTAAAATTTCTTGTTGAGGAACGTCTTGAACGACTTCCCTTGCCCATTACGAAAACAATAGTTTGCCAATTATTACAAAAAAAATTATGCATAGTGGATTTTATCCTGCCGGATGAGGTTACATCACTTGTGACGTAATGATTTGAAAATTGCGGAGACAATGCAAACATATCGTGACATTTAAAGTGTTCTCATATTTTATTGGCTTCTTTGAGATTTTGATTAAAAATCTAGATTATACTGTATATAAAAGAACCTGTTAATAAAGATAGGTTTCTAAAGAGGAAAGCAAGAACAAAAATTAAATATCTCTCATTAGTGGATTGGATCTTTTTTTTTTTTCTTTTTAACTAGTCATATTGATTGGACTTTATTGATCAGATATTAAGGAATATACAAATTGTTTTACAAGAGCTATTCTTATAACTGCTAGTCTATACTATTCTACCCAATTCAAATCTACCCAATTTTATCCATTGAGAATACCATTTTTGTCAGTTGCCCTGCTAAGCTTGGATCATCTAATATTCCAAGGATTTATCAAGAAACATCTTATTATATTTAGGAAGCTATTTTTTAAATATATTTGTTTCATGAGTGTCTGCTTTACATGGAGTGTGTTTGAATCTTAATTTGATGTACTTGCCATGCTTAGTCCTCAGAGGCTAGTTATCTATTGATATCCTTAGCCTTCATATAATTCCAAATAAATTTTCTGATAGTCATTGATAAATCATATCAATAATTTAAGTCTTCTGATGACTATTCTTAACCACTCTTCAAACATGGCCTATAGAATCTTTTCTTAATCAAATAAGACCATAGGTCTCTCTCAAACATGTCATTCTTATGGTTCCCATCATAATTATTTCAGTTTCATCAAGTCTTCTAACATCTATGAATTACATTCTTTAATAATCATTGATAATTAATAATACTTAAATTTCCCATATTATTTGATCTTTACATTTGTAGCTAATATAGTGACCAAAGTCTTTTAGTCTTTCATGAGAATGATTTTTTGAAAAGAGATGAATTTTTACATAAATCAATAGAATTTTAAGTTGATTATTGTTTTTCTTACTGTTTTTTTAGTATTTTCACATATTTTAAATAACAAGATATTATGATTTCTTTTTCTAGTACTAAAACCAATTAAGATCTATATAACCTGTTTTATTATACTATGATCAGATGATGAAATTCTATGGGTTATATATATACAAGTATGCATGTAACTAAAATTTTTTTTTTTTGTCCTCTGTTAAACTAGTTATATATGCTTTATTAAACATTTGTAAGCTGTACATATAATATGAGATACTAAAGCTAATTTTTTAACTAACCCACTCGTTTAGGTTATTTTACTCTTCTAAGTGCAACTTCAGGAGTAATTTATCGCTCTGTTAGAAGTTCAGGTGAACACCCTTCCAACTTCTAACATCATTGCCTGCAAATCATTACTGCAGATCACTTTTTCAAGTTCTGACAGAGATCAAAATCTAACCATTTCATCTCATACTTTACTCTATCTCACAGGACTTGTTTGAGCATTGTATTTTCTATTTCTTCTTCCTTTAGTGATACTTGATATGACTGATTTCCTAGTACCTTAGCCCTGTTTCTTCGCCTTTGTAGGTGTGTCAACCTTTTTATTTTATCACCTCTGTTAATTTCTAATCTTCTTTTCTACTCTATCACCTTTTCACATCTGATGTTCCAAATTTTCTTTCTGAAATGATTGCGTATTTTCTTCTGCATCTGCATTATCCACTTTCTTGCTTCTTTATCGATTCTTTTTTTATAGCACATTGAATCTGCTATCTCATCCATTAGGTCTTTTTCTATTAGTCCTATGCAAAAGCTAAGAATATCTTGACCAGTGTTTGAGATCATTTTCACCAGTTGAGCTATCTTCTTATCTATTTTTCCTCTTTCTATTCTGTTATCAACTGCCAGACTTATTTCTTTTTCTTTTGACTCCTTTTTCCTATCTACCAGAAGTTTGTTGAAATCTTGTATCATATTCTTTGTACCCTTTTGCCAGATTTCATGCCACTGAGTTTTATATGCTGGACATTCTATCAAGTGTTCTATTGTCTCCTTTTGTTGTTCACATGCAAGACATTTTACTTGCTTATATAAGTCTGATTTTTTTATGGCTAGCTTTGTTAATGTGGATAGCTCATCATTGGTCATCTTGACAAAAAAACTTTTTCTTCATGATTCTTTGAAGGAGGTATTCCATAAGGGCCCATTATTTATTTATTCCCAAACAAGGTCCCATGTGTGCCTATACTGGTCTTGGATTTGATAATCCCACTTTTTGTCTATTTTATTTTGAGCTATCCATTGGTGCATCATTATTTTGGCATTGGTTTTTTTAACAAACTGTCTTATTGGAGCATCAGCACTATATCTTACTATTTAATTTCAGTAATAATCTTAGGTGAGTCTAGAATTTTCCATTCTATTGTTGGAAACTTTAATGTTTCTTTGGCTAAAATATCCACTTTCTCATTATATTGAATGTTAAAGAGTGCTTTAACCTTGATAAGATTTAGATCTAATCCTTTTTTCTTTACTAGGCAAAACATTCGTACCCACAATAATGATGAGTTTCTAAAGTATTTAGCATATAAAATTTCACAGATTACTTATGTCCTTTTTTGAGGGACAAAATTCATAACTCTTCACTTCAATGGGGACAAAAATCAGGAAATGCTATAAATCAATAATTTGGATAATGGAGAACAATTGTGGATGGTTTTTTTATAGTTATTAATTTAAAAATTTTAATGTTTCCTAGTGAGAGACATTTGACTTATGTCTCTGTCTCCCCCTTTAGGGACCCATCTCTAGGAGGGGGTATAGGGGTTTTCCTTTTTTTGAGAGAAAAAGTGTTGAAGGATTCATCAGTGAAAATAAAGATTTGATTCCAAGGGCAATGGAGTTTGTAATTTATGGTTTCTTTCACAACTTTTCTGACACAATTTCTTTATCATTTTTGGATACATTGAAGTTTGTTTGGTATTCTATAAATTGGTTTAAAATAGATGTTACAAAGTTTGTAAAAATTTCTGTGATCACTTTTAAACCAGAAGTGAAAAATTTGAAGGGGTGTTTTAATTCAAAGAGAACTTGAATAATAGCTAGTGATTGATTCGAATTGTCATTATCAAGTTTGTATGTAGGGATTAACCATGAAGAGGGACAATGTTGTAAAGAAAAAACTTGAATAGAGGCTATTGGTTTTATTGCATAAATGAAAGAGGTTTTATTTTGTTTGTAAATAATAGAAACTTTTGGTGTTTTGTTATCAATAAGGACTATATCAAGAATAAAGTATTCTTCTGTATTATTGAGGGTCTTGGAGGGACTCCCACCAGGTTTTTTTTGTTTAGTTTTTGGTGGAATTTTTATAACTTTTGTTTCAAAATTTTGTGATCAGTAATTTATGAGAAAGAGTTTTTTTATTATATATATAAGTAACTATTTATACTGTATATTTATTAACTATATATAAATACTACCTTATCAAAAAACTATATAATTCCTTTTAATTTTTATAAACTAGTTTTATTAAAAGTAGTTTAATTATTAGGCCATTAAATTTTCTTTATCCTAAATCCAGATTTTAATCTTTTAGAGTGGTTAATAGATTTTTCTTTTATCAAGACATCCTGATTGTTAAATATATGAATTAAAACATAGCTATATACTTGAAGTCTAGAAATTGAATAAGATCTTCAGTCAATCTTTCTTCAGTAGCATATAACCAGTTTAAAAATCCATTCCTCTTGTTACTAGCAGACAATAATATGGTTCTATCAAGAATAATTCTACTCAATTTCAGATAATAACCTAATTACAATCTTTGTATAGACCATTCTATGTTACAGAGATTTTGATTTTTAATAAAAATCAATAAAAACCATTGATTATCTTAATCTGCACTAGCTATACTTATAAATATTAGTTAGATACAGTTAGACCAATGAATAATTTATCAAATTTTATCTGCTTTAATTAAAGGAATCATATTAATCTCTAAAGAATTGAACCTATATCTTGTGATTAAATCTATAAAGTGCTAATTACTATATTATTGATCTATTAAAATAAAAATATAAAATAATAATAATACTTAAGTCATAAAATAGTTTTAAGTAAAATTAATTTTAAATATTTAAGTATTTATATTTTAAGTTTGATTTGATTTAGATAATTCTTTATTAAATTAAATATATTTGAAAAAAAGACAATTTTTTTGTTTTTTATTGTATATAAACAGTGTTGTGGGCTAAACCAGCAAGTCCGTCGCTAAACCGTAGTACTTTGTATAACCCAGTCATCTCATGAATACTCACAAAGAAGAGAACATCTTCTATAAAGAACACTTAGGGAAGGCAGAGGTGTGGTGATTGACTTGGCTGAAGGTAAGTATCTCTTTATTGCATTCTATTTCTTTGATATCTCACTAATTCTTATCTCTATTCTCAAGGAGGGCTGTTTTCCTCAAATTCAGCTCGGCCTTTTCGGCATACATTGGTAAGCTATTTATACTTTTCTAACTAACAATGGTCTATCTACTTTATAATCAACTATATTAATCCTAAGCTTTGAAAAACTTTCCATACATTTTCAGATACACATAGTTCCCTTATAAGTACCCGAGCTTTATCTATAGTTTCTTATCTTGCAACACTCAATCTTTCATCCAGACTTTTGGGTTTTTGGATTCTAGACCGTTATGCGTAAATTGCATCACCCACGTGACCAATAACAACAGTCAAATAGCAATTAATAAAATCCTTAAAATACAAAAAAAAAAGTATCAAAAGATTATAAAGATATAAAAAAACTACAATCTAATACAAATTTCAGAATAGTACAAATAAAACAATATAAAGCTTCTTTTGTTTAAAGTTAAAGATTACTCAGGAATAAAATAGAATAAAATAAATAATAAATTAGTATATATTGATTAATGAAAAGATATGATACTAAAAAAAAAAGAAGTTGAGATAATAGTAATATAAAATCA